TTTCTTCTACATTTCTTTCAACTTCTCCCTTGGAAAGTTCAATCCCATCCATGGAGTACATTTCCAGATCGCTTTTCCGGGGGGTAATAAACCCTTCAAAAATAAATGAAACCAATAATAATTTGGTCACTCAATCCACGAATGTTTGTGGGACACTGCTGTGCGTAATTGGATGCTGCGCTTCGCCCACAAAAATATACAGTCAATTCACTTTACAATATATTCTGTGAAGTGATTTCAGACATCTCGAAGACATGATAAGGTGCTATATCAAATGCAAGGATTATTATTATATTATTACATGTGTTTCCTATTCTTGGATCCTATATGTAGTACTTGCATTTATCAGTATTAAACTTAATTTACCAGTTCTAGAGGTTAGGGGCGAGGAGCTGAATTGTAGTAGCTGGCAGGAATAACAGTTATACTAACGTTAAGTTATTCCTAAAAATTGTTAAACATTAGCATTTATCAACAAAATATTCAAATGTTCTTTAAAGAACAATATTGAGCGGCTTCTGTAAAGGTCACTTTAATTTTCTTTCTTAAATCCAAATGCCGTGACATTTCACTTTCTCCAGGTCGGTTTCCTCATGTGCTCAATCAATTATTAAAATAAATATTTGACTCACTAATGGAAATATTCTATAGAGACAGGCACCAGACAGAATGGAATCGGGGACTAAATGTTGCAGTGAGTTACTGGAGTGTTCCTCCTTCAAAACTAAAGATCTGAATCTAGTTCAGGCTGATGAAATGAGAATTTGTTAGCTTGCCAGTTATCAGTTTGGCTCAGATCAGAGCACAGAAGGTTGTGTGTTCAAGTCTTACATTGGGACTGACATTCACGTAGAGTACTGGGAGAGCCGTATTGTCGGAGCTGCTGTCATGTGGATGAGATGTTAAACCTAGGTCCTGCCTGCATGCTCAGGTGATTAAAGGCCCCATGACACTAATCAAAAAGAAGAGGAAGTTTTTCCAGGTATCATAAACAATATTCTTCCAGATAAAATTGTTTGCTTGTGTGATCTCGCTGCGTTCAAACTGACTGCAGAGTCTGCTTACATTTCATAGTCAATTACATGTATTTGGAGATGTTACTTGGCAATTTTGAGATGTTTCATTGTTTAGGCAGTACAGTATAACAAAAATTATTATTATCTGATATGCATAAAAATTCACAGTTCTTAATTCCATTTCCTGGTTGGCCCAGTATAAAACTTCAGAATGTGGGTCTAATTTTTTTCATTACTCAGAAACATGGGTTGATGTGAGAAATGAAAGGATCATGTTGAAGAAATAAGAAATACTTTGTTAAAAGTACAAAAACAATGTATTAATTTGTGGTGTTGCTTAGATTGGCTCTCTTTACCAGACAAGTGGTTTGTTCCATTCAGCGTTAAAGCCCAGTAATGTTTTTTGGACACTGAGTCAAGCGATTTTATTTTCAAGCCTTAAGCTACATACCAGCTAAGTCAGCTCCTATACCCTGACCTCTGGAACTCCATTACCTCTTCTCCCTCTCATTGAATCCCACATAAAAAAAAGACTTGGAAAATGTTTTCGGCCAAGGGCAGGCTCTGGGTTCTGCTGCTTTAATATTGCTTTCCCAGATTTATCTCCTGAGGAAAGTCAAATTCCTAGGCCAAAAATATTATTTTAATAGTGATTTTGCTGACTAGGTGTGAAGTCTCCAGGCCAAGTTAACATTTCGGCACAAGAAAGCAGGGATTTTGACTCTTTCAAGCATATCAAGCCTGTGGAAACAATATTAAACAAACAAAAAAATCCCAGAGCTTTATTTAGGGCCTAAAATATAGAAAAGAAAATTGTTCACCTCAGGAAAATGGCTATGTAAAGGGCCTGGAGAGGAACAATCACTAACATGGAGAGGGACACCACCTGTTGGTAATACACTACAAAACACTATAACGGACCACCACAATGCTACCCCCTTGATTTCCCCATTACAAAGAATGAGGAAAGGCTTTATACTTCAGCTGGCCCATTCTTCACCTGACCTATCAAGGCAGGAGACATGGAGCAGGTCAGTGCCTGCCAAGCAGAGGGAGCGGGCGGGTTGGTAAGGTTTTAGCAGGTTGCAAAGGCAACATTACATGCCATGAGGAGCAAGACCGTGAAGGACTTTAAAAGGACGAGGATCTTAAACTCGATCCTCTGGGGGATGGGGAGCCAGTGGAGCCAGACGAAGATGGGGGTGATTGCAGCTCATGTTCTCTCCCGTACGAGAGTTCTGAATAATCTACAGGTTCATTGCTCCTCACAAGAGTTGCAAGAGATAGGATGAATCATTCTATAACTCAAGGCAAGCATGCTGCTTGAGCCATTTTGTTTTTATGGACCCTCACTTGATCCGATGCTTTGTGACCTTCCTTCAATCTTTAAATTGCATGTGGTGAAGTCAGAACACCAGCCCTCCCCTTAACCTTGGTTTGATCCTTAAGATGGTTTGAAAAACATGCTTATCAACTTGCCTGCTACTGAAGAGGTCCAGATTTCTTTTGCAATTTTGATGCTGGTATTTGAGCGTTGCTCAACAAGACACCGATAGTTAAGTCAGTCTCATTTTAGCTGCACTCAAATACAAATTTCGATTCCAGCATCTTGGAAAGTCCTCCTTACGTGAAAGACGCTATATAAATGTAAATGGTATTCCATTATCGGGAGCCACAACAGAATGGAGATTCCATTGGGCCCAACCATTATTTTACATTGTAATGTTGCATTTTTCGTTTTATTATTTTACGATGAATGAGGTCTTCAACTTTCAATTACAATGCATTAGGATATTCCAGTTAGTTCCAAATCTGTTTTCTGGGTATGTCATTGGTGTGGAACTTGCTTCAGCCTTGATTTATAAATAAACCTTATGGAAATTCTTGAAATGTGTATTTTTAATGTTTAAAAAAAATACAAAGTAATCTGCTTTGCCATGCAAACCTCAGGCACAGGGTCACAACTCCTGAAGACCCATATGGCCTCAGCTTTCGACTTTACATTAGTTTTTTTCCCCAGTCGCTCTGCGGTGATGGAAAGAATTATAAAAACAGATGAGGTTCAGAAAAGGGATTAAATCAGTGTTGAGCTGAGAAAAAGGCATAGATTTTTCAAATTCTCTTCCTAGATTCTTATGACTAAGCTACCTTGATGTGCACACATTTCAGGCAGTGCTTTCTCCTATATGCATGGTTCTCAATCCACATTTAAGATCAAGTGTAAAAATAAATGTGTCCTGGCAACATTGAGAGAAATGGCACGTTTCCAAAATACATTCTTACAGTCTGTTGATTGAGGATAAGAGAATAAACAGAGGCATTACAGTATGGATTACTTGGTTGATCAGGAAGGAAATGAAGCGAGATATATATATATATAGACTGTTTGAAAAAAGAACGACTGAAACATGCGTTGGATAAAGAGCTGCCTTTCAGTTTTAACTTTTCTTCCTGTAATTTTTACAATATGTAGTGAAGTCACAAATATCAATAATTAGTCAGAATAAGCGTATGGGGCATTACCCTGGCACAGTTGGTGGCAATCTCAGCAGAGTCAGAAGGATATGGGTTCAAGACCCAGTCAGGCCTTTGATGACACTCCAGTACAGTGCGTTGTTGGAGGTGTCGTCCTTCAGTTAAGAAGTTAAACCAAGGTCCCACCTGACTGTTCAGGTGGACGTTAAAGATCTCGTGACATATTTGAAAAGAGAAGAGTTTCTCCCAGTGTCCTGGCCAACAACCCCCCAAACAAGACCGGTCACTCAACTTCATGACATTGGACAAGATGCCCATCTTGACTGCTGTATTTGTCTACAAATGCATTCCCTACACGTAAACCCAAATCTTGTGAAGGCTTTGAAACATCTTGATGATGCTGTATCAAATGCAAGGATTATTATTCTAACTTGCTGGGATAATAGTAATCCTTGCATTTGATACAGCGCCTTATCAGGTCGGTGAGACGTCTCAAAGTGCTTCACATGATATACTATAAAGTGAATTGACTGTATATTTTGTAGGCAAAACAACAAAATTACATTTGGATAGCGCCTTTCACTTCAGGAGGCCATCCCAAGACGATCAGTGGGCAATCAGTGTTTCGGAACGCAGCAGTCAATTGTATAGAGAGGTGTCCCAAACAGTTGTGGTTTGAATGACCAAATTATAATTTTTTTCTGAAGGGAATATTACCCCAGAAAGCAATCCACCAATCGACTAACAACCGTGTTCTTACTGCTAGGAAAAGAGGTGTGTGGAGTAAAAAAACTTGCTTAAGGTTTTGTCCTGCCCGGGAATTGACCCCGGGTCCTCTCACTTGCAAGACAAATGCTCTAACCAATACGCTACGGGATTCGATAATGGGTCAAATCTCACATACTGAGAAATTGCACTGCTACAGTATTACCACACACATCTACAAACACCACAGGATGCCTATCAATAATCCTGAGACTGGATGGTAGATTTGCAATTCACTTAAATCCTGCTAATCTCGATTACAAGGTACACAGTGAATGTAATCAAAACGATACATTACAACAGGTAAGAAAGGTAAAGAAAGAGACCAAATACAGGAAAACCGCGACATAAATTGCACCTCAGGATGTAGAGTGTGTCTCTTGCTGGGAACCCCATCTTTATCACTCTGACGTACAAGAACCCTGTTCCAACTCAGGATTATGGGTCAGAGTGCAGCTTATGTTCTCAGGGAGAAGAAGCCATTTTCTGGCAGAAGAAGCCATTTACCCTCGATTTGAAAAGAATATCTGGAAAGGCAAGATGCATATTCTACACAAGATAATGCAACTACAGTCAAATTGTGATAAACTTACTTCTAGAAGGGATATTTCAACCACCACCTCAGACTGCCAACATAACTTACAAACTGTGAAATCTGTATTACCACTACCTAACAACATCATATTGCAATTTATACTGAAAAGGCTAAAAACATGAACCAAATGAAATGGAACCATTCAAATATTAAGTCTAAGGTATTTATTGGTAAACTGTTTGTCCTGTGATTAGTTGTACAGATTAGCAGAAATGCTTGCATACAAACTGTGTAACATATTACAGCAAAATTACTAAACATTTTACCAATTTACAAAGACATATCCGACTAGGGTTGCATTTGAGGCAGAATTACATTAAAAAAGCAATTATATAAAAAAACTGTGGTAGAGTACTTTCCTTTTACTCCACTGAAAGAACACCACCAGTCAAAAAAAATAATCACCCCACAACATATTGGCATTGGTAATTCTTTGAATAGACATTACAAAGCCAATGGGAATTTTGAAATTAAAAAAAAATTATTTGGTTAAATGTTAACAGGGTAGAATTAAAGGAACTATTTATATGGTAAAGAAATTAGGTTTCTAAATTATGTTTAACCCGCAGCTGGTAAATCATGTATCCATAATTCTCAATTTGATGTAAGCTTATATTATACAACAGTTGGTGGATGCGTAGAACAAGAAATTTCAAACTATGTTCCCACACTAACTGCACTCTCTACTGTACATTAACCCATATTTGTCTGGCCACATTTTTATATTGATCAGCTGAAGAGGATGTGGACAATATTGATCAGAAGCACCAACCTCTAATGTCGTGAGGCTTAACTTCATCATGTACAATATTTCATTACCAGATTTATCCATCAAAAGCATTGTATCATAAAAAAGTTAAAATACACCAACATATACTTGTATATTTCAAAATATTTCCCATGTCTGAATCTTCACTTGTTGGAATGTTTACTTAACCAGTTTCCATGCTGGTTTGCGAGATTGTTATATTACAAGAGGACGATTTGCTTCAGGAGCTGACTTTGTTGATTCTTTTGATACAAAAATACAAGGAACTAAACTACTCTTGTATGTGTAGTTGAGCAAAAGAAAATCCCTGCTAAAGGACTGATGGTCAGTTTTATTTTTTAAAAGCTTTTTGGTGGTAGTCGCTGTTTGTACATTCCTGCTAAGGCTTTGGCAGCACTGTAGATCATCTGTCTTCGAGACATTCCTGTAAATACTATATGCCAGTCAATTCGGGTGATGTGAGGTATACTCCTTTCCAACACTTCGCCTATGGTCACCAAGAGCCCAGACCATCTCAGGTTGTAGTCGGGAGGTGTCAAATTTTGGGCCTGTTTATGAAAATGAAAAGTTATTGCTGGAACAACTGCACCAAAGTTCGGTAAAGCTAATACTCCCTTAGTTGAATTGGACCCCGACAAATGTCACAAATACAAATCTCAAATCCACAGGCAACAACCACATCAAAAAATAAATATGAAATGGTAACCAATTCTTTTAATGATGTACATCAAAATGCAGAGATAAAAGATTTATTTAATTTTAGACAAGAAAGAACTGATGCTCCCTCCCACCGAAGGCAATGACTTTTTGTCAGTAAAGAAAACAAGGTGCACATTTTAAGCAAATTGTATCAGAAATACATTTTGGATTAAGTTAACAACCATTAAACAGAGTTGTTGAGAGTCTAGAATTAGATCGCAGTAGGTTGCAATTTTATTTTGTAGTTTTTTTCCTCCAAGAATCAACATGATTTAAAATGTATGTATTATATTTGACTGAGGACTACATGCAAGGGCAAAGTGACTTAAAAGGAATTAAGTAGAGACTAAAACACTCATGCCAAGAGAAATCGATGCAAAATATTTTGAGATAAGGGAGCTGCAATACACAGCAAGAGAAATTCACATTAAAATGGAGGCTCATTAAAATGGCTCATGGCAAGTTCAAAGTGCAGCTTGAACCTACAACCTTCTGAGTGCTACTAACTGAGCTCGGCTGACATCTATTTAAATAACACAAATTAAAGTGCGTTATATGCATATACACACACGGACTGAATGTACAGATATAAATGTTAACTCAGTGGCAAGTGTTAGATGCACAAACTGACCTGTTGCACATATTCCAAAGGCACTGGTGTGGCCTGTGTGAAGTTTTCCAAATGAATACCATGAGCAGGATCTTCAAGAATTAAGCAGCCAATGTCAAACCACCTGGAAGATAAAAGCATGCAATAAAAACAATTTGCCAGGGGCGTTTGTGAGATTTGGGTTAAAGTGGCTCTTCTTTGGGTGAGATATTATCTGTGCAGAATAGGGAAGCATTAATATTCTTCACAACACAAAGTACCAGGGGAACAAATTTTTAATCAAGATTTCGTTATTCATTTGCATTCATAAAATTATTTGTACAAAGTCTAATTAAGCAAATTTATTAAGATAGAACAAATTAGATTTAAAAAAACGCTTGTCTAATATGAGAGATTAAGGACGCCCTCCTCAGAGAAACTTGCTGACGTTTAGAGATACAGCTTCATATTTCAACATGAAATGTTTCCAAGTGAAGATCTTCTGAGTAAGTATTTAAGAGGAAAATGTTGCTTACCTGTCAGGTAGCAATTCTGCAATGAAGTTCTCAATGGAAACCACTGCCTGTTTTTCATGAATGATTCCTGATCTCCGCAGACTATCAATCCTTTCTTGTGCTCCCTAAAGAAAACAAGAAACATCTACACATTAATGTTTTTTATATACACGTTAAATATAATGGAGTCCTGTAGCTCAGTGGTTAGAGCACTCGCTTTGCAAGTGAGAGACCTGAGTTCAATTCCAGGCAGAGGGCGAAACCTTGGGCAAGTTTCCTTACTCCACACAGAGCCTAATAATAATCCCTCCAAAACCAAAACAATAATAAATTAGTCATTTTCAATCTACGACTGTTTGTGGGACATTGCTGTGCGCAATTGGCTGCCGCGTTCGCCCACAAATATACAGTCAATTCACTTTACAGTATATTCTGTGAAGCGCTTTGGGACGTCCTTCTGACGTGAAAAGCGCTATATCAAATGCAAGGATTATTATTATTATTATTAATGGGTTTGGGGTTACGTAAAGCAAATATATTAAGTACCACTTTTTGGTTGAAAACTGGGAGGGGGGCGGGGGAAGGGTGGTGGAGTGAAAAAGGAACAAGAGAGTTCGTGATACAAAAACGACTTCCATTTGCTGGGAAACAGGATCCAAGTAAATGTGAAAAGACCTGCTGCACTGCTAATACAGGGGAATCGGAAAGGGGGAGCACTGGATAGTTAGACTAATAGTACTTGATGGCAATACTGAAGAACAATACTGAACAATACTGAAGAATATTGATGGCAATACTGAAGAACATTTGGAATCCATAAATTATAAACACAGAAAAGAAAACCCGGTTCTTCCTTTGGTGGATTCCAATGCCCAGCACCAAATCAGAAGACGAATTGTTGTGGAAAAACTTAAAAAAGCTTTACCTGACATATTGGGGCCTCTTCGACTTACAATGTGTGACATTTCTCCTGAGCTAAACAGACTTGTAAAAACATTCAGGCTAACAAACACAAATATCCTTCACCGACCCTCCCAATGGACCCTAATCGCTATTGTGCTGCTTGCAGTACTGTCAGTGAAGATTCCACTTCTTCAGGAGACTCTGCAGAGTGTGACCTCAGAAATGTTTATATCTACTTTTCTGCAAGAATTTGATGCCCAGATTGAAGACCTGGAAAATTTGAAGAACATCTTCAAATACCATGAGAAGAATGGTGTGGGGGGTCTGTAAAACAAAAGTACAATTACATCTTGTAATTGAGTCGTGGAGTCCTGTAGCTCAGTGGTTAGAGCACTCGCTTTGCAAGCAAGAGACCCGAGTTCAATTCCAGGCAGAGAGCGAAACCTTGGGCAAGTTTCCTTACTCCACACACATAATAATAATCCCTCCAAAACCAAAAACAATAATAAATTGGTCATTTTCAATCTACGACTGTTTGTGGGACATTGCTGTGCGCAATTGGCTGCCGCGTTCGCCCACAAATATGCAGTCAATTCACTTTACAGTGTCTTCTGTGAAGCGCTTTGGGACGTCCTCCCGACGTGAAAAGCGCTATATCAAATGCAAGGATTATTATTATTATTATTATTACTTTCAGGTTATCACTCCTTCCTCATACTGAAAACGTTTTTTTGACTTTTTTTAATATAAACAAGCACACATAAAATACTTCAGATTCAGTGCCTAGCTCCAAGTTCATTTCATTTTAATAGCATACACTGACTGAATCTGAATATATGTAAGTATAGAAAATCACTATTTCCTTCAACCAAAGTGAGCCATACTAAATAAAGTTTGCTATCCATTATCAAAATGTCTTGTTTATTTCTAAACCAACCGAACACACTCATTAAATACATTTTGATCCAGACAGAAACTTATTACAAAACAGTTAAGCTCCAGTATAGCAATTTTTAGCTTGGAGAAAAATTGGCTAAGATCAGGTTATGGTGGGAGAAAATGTACTTTTAGAAAAAATTCAAGGAGACGGTGAGCAGCCTTAAGAAACTAAACAGAAGAAAATGTCAGTATCAAGGGGAGTGGGGCAGATTGAGGGGTAGAAAGGACAGCTCGACAGCAGGCAAATCCATTAGCTAAACAGCAGTCGATCTCCCTGATGCTATATCTCCTCTCAAGGATGTAACATTAGATTAAAAGTACTTTTACCTCATTAAAAGTACTTCTCTCACTTCATTCTCCACCCCTCGGTCCCCAAATTTATACATGAATTGTCTCTATGAGGAAGCTCAGAGCTCTTGTTCGATTAACACTGCACATTCACAAGCTGAGCTATAAAGGAAAGGATTCACCACTGCAGAATGAATACAAAAAACATATTCCTTAAAGAAGATTATGGTGTGTAATAAAAAGGTAAATAGAACAGTATTTTAGTTGGGTTTCTGCAGTAACCTACAAGGCTAGTGACACAATTTTAACTAGTTTGGATGTTTAAAATCTGATTTGATTCACAGGATTTTCAGCATCAATTGTTGCCTGTCCAACTGCAATGAACAGAAAATTTAACCTACAAAATGTTAGCCTTTTTCAATCATATATACAGTACAAAACTATGTTATAGAAGAAAAGGATTAAATTGAACCTAAAAGTAGTTCCCATGGAACTTTTTGAACCGTAGAAATTTACAGCACAGGAGGCCATTCGGCCCAGTTTCAGATATAAGCCTCGTAGGCAAACGTTTNAAAAAACGTAATTATTTGGAAAGGATATACATCATATTGATGTACAGAAAAAAGAAGCTGGGACATGCACTGATCCAAATAAATGTAACATCTTTATTTTACTTACTACACACATATGACTGGAATATAAGATACCTAAAATCTATGGCTCTCAGATCTAACACGTTCGTATTTGATGCTAAGTTAGAGAAGTTAAGCGTTTTCAAGGAATTATTGTTCCTTAATGTCTGGCAATGATCCTTTTATCCTCACATAGATTTTGTTAAACTACAATGCAGGTTTATCCAAATTTGATGGCAAGACCTATTTCATCTCTATTCCTTTCCATTGGGGCTTCCATTTATCTACTATTTCAGGTCACTTCCCAAATGTTTCGTCCTTCTGCACTCCAGAATTCAGCACACAAATCTTGAAGTGGTTAAGTGAATGTTCTCATCTGTAATAGAATGGTTCCCATTCATCAGTTTAATCTGAAGACATGCCCTTTGCAGTCAGTATGGTGCAACTATCAAAAACAACTGAAGCAGAGAGATCACCTCAGCCAGGTGCAGAAATGAATGAGACAAGGTCATGAAACGCTTCAATCCATTTCAATTTTAAGTTCCTCTCGTGTAGCAGCAAGTTTATATAATGAAAAAAGGAAAACAATGTTAAATAAAACATTTCTGTAAATTGTAATCTTTACACAAAAACAAATGATTGCCCTTGTTTTTTTTTAAAAAAGTTAAGGTTATAATGAAAAGCTCATATTTTAGCAAAACTGACACTTGATCAATAAAAGCTTTTACCACTGATATGTAACATAAGTGAGCCGGTTGGCTCCCAGTTGAGCAGTTACAGTTCCAAATTGCAAAGAGCAATCAGGATGGAATTATATATGCAAAGTGTACGTTTCTCTCGCTCCCCCAAAAAACACAATCCACAGAGGCAATACAAATTTACATTTATATAACGCCTTTCACATCAGAATGCCATCCCAAGGAGACGAAAAGCGGTGTCATTTATGGAAATTTAAACACAAAAAAAGAAAAGGATAGTGTACACAAGATGAGTTCAAAGTTAATTGTATAAGTACTGGAAGGATGTCCTGTAGCTCAGTGGTTAGAGTACTCGCTTTGCAAGCGAGAGACCTGAGTTCAATTCCAGGCAGGTCAGGGCGAAACCTTGGGCAAGTTTCCTTACTCCACACAGAGCCTAATAATAATCCCTCCAAAACCAAAAACAATAATAAATTGGTCATTTTCAATCTACGACTGTTTATGGGACATTGCTGTGCGCAATTGGCTGCCGCGTTCGCCCACAAATATACAGTCAATTCACTTTACAGTATATTCTGTGAAGCGCTTTGGGACGTCCTCCCGATGTGAAAAGCGCTATATCAAATGCAAGGATTATTATTATTATTAAGGATGAAAACTGTCCTCAGAGTTCTTATACTCTCATAAGTCTGAATGATCATATTTGCACATGTTCTTGGCTGATATAAAGACACACAAACTATTTTTTGCACATGTATAAATTTATTTTGATGATTAAGAATGATCATTTCATTGGTGGCCTGGCCACTAATTCTCTGGATAAATTGGTCATTCACTTCCTGGCTGTTTGTGGGACATTGTTGTTAGGTTGGGCGATTGCCCACAAATACACAGTCACTATACTGTAAAGCACTTTGATATTTCAATGAAATATATGCTATATATTATTTATTATTAAGAGCTGCTTTGCGTTCAGGTGGAAGGCAGTAAAGGAGTCCTTAAAAAGCATTGTCCAAACTGAATCGTTTAACTGTTTCTGAAAGTCAGACTGAGAACCCATTTCACTGAGTAGGTTACTTTAAACTTGCACAATTCATTAAGTTAAGGTCATGCCTGAAATATTGAGCGTCTTGTCCTCAAAAAGACATTAATGCATTGAAGATCAAAGAGTGCTAAAGAAGGGATTTTAAAAGCCTTTTAAACTCTTCATCCTCCTCTCCCAGAAGTCACTGACTCATGCAAAAATATAGTTTCACAGGCATCAGCTGACCTTTGGTAACTTATCAAAGTTGCTATTTTTCATGTGCAAATCTAGTGAGAGAGCGTCAGTTAGTTAATAGACCAAAAAAGGCACAGCCATATTGGTGTTCACTTTCCAGAGAAGATCAATGGTCAGTGATCATGAACAGAAACTTTGGCAACTTTTTCCTATTTCTAGCCCAGGGATATTGACAACAACTGCCCAAGATGATAATCATTGCATTCGATATAGCGCTTTATTGTCTTGTTGAAACATCTCAAAGAGCTTCACAGGATTTACTGAAAAGTGTAGTAACTGTATATGTAATAATAATAATAATCCTTGCATTTGATATAGCGCTTTTCACGTCGGGAGGACGTCCCAAAGCGCTTCACAGAACACATTGTAAAGTGAATTGACTGTAT